GAATCTCACAAATCGAATCTCAGATCCCAACCACAGAAAATCCCAGATCCCCCAAATCGAAAGAAACCCAAATCCCACAAATCAAAAGAAACCCAGATCCCCCAAATTGAATCCCAAGGCACAGAAAGCGAATCTCAAATCCCCTGACAAGAATCCCAGATCCCCAACAACGAATCTCATATCCAAAAAACGAAGCAAAAGAAATTCAGATCTAGTCGAATCCGTGAAACCCTAAATCAAATATAAAGAATCCTGAATCTCCCAAATCAAATCCCAGATCCCATCCATAGAAAATCGCAGATCCCCCAAATCGAATCCCAGTGCACAAAAAGCGAATCTCAAATCCCCCGACAAAAATGCCAGATCCCCAACAATGAATCTCAGATCCAAACAACGAAGCAAAAAAAAAAAAAAAACTCAGATCCAACATTCGTATCCATGAATCAAGGAAAGAAAAGGGTAAAACACCTACCTCAAAGATTTTCCTTCACCGTCGCGTTGGTGCCCTCAATGAATCAGGAGAAATGAAGATGCTTACCTCAAAAACTTTCTTCTCTTCGCAGTCGGTGTCGTCGTCTTCCTCGCGCTGCCGGTGTCGTCGTCTTCCTCGCACTACCGGCGTCGATGTCTTCCTTCTTGCTCGGTGACACGCCAAAACACAACACCAAACTGCGACCAAGTGTAATCGCAGTCCGGGAATGCAGTAACAGGCAAGTTCTATTATCAACCCGGGGTCTAGATCTACTGCTTACTCTGTGATTATTGTTTAAACTAAAAGCAGTAAAAAGCAGGAAATGGTTCGGTTTTCTAAAGCAGGAAAGAGTCACTCGGGAAATGAGTCCCCCTAGCTCCTTAGTTAGGTTCAATTGTAATTACCCTGGGTTGATTTACTGTTGATTAGACTGCGGAAGATCCGACAGTAGCTTGGAATCTCTTAAGCTGACCAAGCCCTCTCAGTCTAACTACCCGGCAGACGACTAGTCTTCACCGGGACAGAAAGCTGAAGCAATGAGCACAGAACTCCACTACTGGAATTGGATTCCAGTACAAAGCAGTAGACTGGCTAACTCTCGTATAACCAATCTCCTACTATCGAATAAAGAAGCTCTAACAACCTAATCAGATTCTATCTATCTCAGGTTGCAGCAGAAATCAAGAAAAGCTGATCAGACTTCAATCAATTCAATAAAACATGCATCATTCGATTAAAACCAAATAGTATAATCATCCCAAGTCATTACAATCAAATCCCTAACACATGGAACTAGGGTTCTTCATACCCAAGTGAGAGAAGGGTTCTACTCCATAGAGGGAGAGAGAGGAAAACAGGATACAAAGCAGTCATACTCATAACAATGGGAAGAATCTGCTATGGGATGATGATTTCCACTCCTATGACGATCTCCAAGCTCGATTCCCGAGCTCCAATGGCGAAGAAATCCTCCAAAATAGCTTCAAGAATGTTCCCAAGTCGCTCTCTCTCTAGGGTTCGTCCCTAGGGTGTTTGGGAACCAAAAACCCAGCTCTCCCCTTTCCTTTTGCTGAAAATCGGGTTTTAGACAGAAATTCCCGATCACGCGGCCAGGCCACAAGGCCGTGTGGCTTTCCCAGCTGCCCGTGTGGCTTTCCCAGCTGCCCGTGTGAAGGCTCGGTAATTTCCACACGGCCACGACTCACACGGCCGTGTGGAGTTCCAGGATGCCCGTGTGGCTTACCCAGCCTCTGTTTAATGCTTCATTTCTACCTCGTCCGGACTCCGAATCAGTCGCCGTTTGATCCCATACGCTCGTAGTCTCGTCCTCTTTCTTTTCATGACAAAATTCCATGATTATTTGTCCATAATATGAGGTAGAAGTCCATTATTCCTCAGGTCATGCTCGTGTTTCTTCCCCTAATTGCCAAATGATCTCCGATTGACTTGAAACTTGCGCATATGCTTTAATTTACATGCTAGGACCTGAAATGTGACAAAGGAACATAACCTATCATAAAATAGTCCAAGAAAGCAGAAACTCAAGCCAAAATGAAGAAGAAACGAGGGTGCAAACATGTGCAAATCCGATGTTATCAAATTCCCCCACACTTAACCGTTTGCTTGTCCCCAAGCAAACCTAACTCAAACCAATGCAGCTCTCCAGACCTCTATAGCAACAAACAACCCTGATCATCGGTAGAGGATTTCCTAGATCATATAGCAGCTTACGAGGTCAACTGGTCTTCTAAGACGTCCCCTATCTCTCTCAATGCGAGTACTAGACTCAAGCCAGGATCATGAGAAGAAGTGGAAGTAAGACAGCCAGTTCATGGATAAAGGAACTCACACCATTCACAACCTAGGACTCGTTGTACCGGGGTGCTCTTTCACTTCATCTCACCGTTGGAACCCCTTTTTGCACTTTCATTTACATTTCTTTTTCTCTTTTTTTTTCTTCATTCATTTGGCGGGGGTTCCAACTGCAGTCTTTTGCACGGTCGACCCTTATTAGTCGAGCAAGAGCAATTTTTGTACATCTGGCGCTCGCCAAAGTACTTCTTTTAACTCCTTTTCCTCAACTCGTGTGGAGCGTCAACGAAATTAAGGGGGGTCGGAAGCTCTATCCGTGCCCTTAAAAACACATCCTCGAGTAGGCAAACCGTTCAACGGGTGGAAGTTTTACTTGTACTGGAGACAGCTTAGCTTCACCTTGTAGGAGTACCCCACTAAGGATCACTAAAATCTCCTCCAAAACCCGATTTTGTGCAATGAACGGTGCCACACACGTTGGGCTTACCCCATGTTTAAGATTTTTGATGATTTCGACATGGAGGACCAACTGCTTTTCATTTGCCACATGAGCACCCTGTTCAATACACGAGTCCATAACACAATCCAAACAAAGTCACCATTACCATATGAATTCAACGGTCTTAGCTCCACTAATTCACAAAATCAACCTGCACAGCAGAGAGTTAGATAGGAAAAATCTTATACTTCAACATCCTCCATAGTGCTACACTACCTCCCCAGGTTGCACATTACTATAGAGTCTGTCAACTCAAAGCATACTGAGCAGGAAATTTGCATGGAAACACATACTTGGAGCCCTCAAATCGAAATTTGGACAGTGGATTAGGCTTCAAGCACACAAACAGCCAAACATTCACCCGCATACATAATCGAACACCCCCCCCCCCCACACACACACACTTAAAAGCCTTGCTTAAAAATCAAACCTGGGATGTAGTCAGTTTGCCTAAAGGTAAAAAGCCAATAGGCAACAAATGGATTTACAAGGATAAATTCCTTTCTGATGGCTCTCTAGAGAGGCACAAAGCCAGACTTGTGGAAAAAGGCAATACTCAACAAGAAGGAGTGGATTACCAAGATACATTTGCTCCTGTCATCAAAATGACAACAGTAAGGATTTTTCTTCCAATTGCAGCCATGAGGAATTGACATATCCATCAATTGGATGTCAACAATGCCTTCCTCCATGGTGATCTGGAAGAAGAAGTCTATATGACTCTACCTAAAGGCTATAATCCTCCTCCTGGCATTCCTAACCCAGTTTGCAGATTGAGAAAATCCATCTATGGTTTGAAACAAGCATCCAGACAGTGGTTCTCCAAACTTACAGACAAACTACAACAAGTGGGGTATGTTCAAAGTCAAGCAGATCATTCTCTTTTCTTTAAAGTGACAGAAACCAGCTACACATGCATTCTCATCTATGTGGATGATCTGGTCTTGGGAGGGCATGATATTGAAGAAATTAAGCAACTTAAAGAAGTTCTTCATAATGAATTTAGTATTAAAGATCTTGGCAATATGAGGTATTTCTTGGGGATTGAAGTGGCTCGCAACTCATATGGAATTCATCTATCATACATAAAATATGCATTGGAAATTTTAGAAGAAGCAAAAGTACTTGATTCAAAGGTAGTTTCCTCACCATTGGACTACAAATTGCATTTAAGCAATGATTCTGATAGCCCTTTTGAAGATCCAGAACTCTACAAGACCTTAGTAGGAAAGCTTATCTACCTCACTACTACAAGACCTGACATTAGTTTTGCAACTCAGCAACTAAGTCAGTTCATGTCATCTCCATCTACTACTCATTTCAAAGCTGTGCTTCATGTCCTCCGTTACTTGAAATCTGCACCTGCTACTGGCCTCTTCTTCCCTTCCAAAGGTACCTTCCAAATCAAAGCCTTTATTGATTCTGATTGGGCTGCTTGTGTGGATACTCGTCGATCAACAACTGGTTTCTGCATCTACCTCGGTGATTCCCTTATTTCCTGGAAAACAAAGAAACAGCACACAGTTTCGAGATCATTTTGTGAGGCAGAGTATAGAGCTTTAGCCTACACTGCTTGTGAGATTCAATACCTTCTCAAAGATTTCCAAGCTTCGTCTTCATCACCAGCAGATCTTTATCGCGACAATCAAAGTGCAATCTACATAGCAAAGAATCCCTCTTTTCACGAACGAACAAAACACATCGAATTAGACTGTCATTTCATTAGTGAAAAGCTTCAATCAGGGAGCCTCAAGTTGCTGCCTATTTCCTCAGTCCACCAATTAGCAGACCTCTTCACCAAACCACTGTCTCCTTCTCCATTCATCTCCTTACTGTCCAAGCTTGATGTGCGAAACCTCTGCCCACCAGCTTGTTGGGGGGGGGGGGGGGGTAACAGATTGAAAATCAATTCAATCACAACGGTCACTTTCTTCTACGGTGACGTTTTATCCTCTGAGAACTGTTTCTTCCTACTGTGTCATTTTGGGTCAGCTTCATTGGACGGAACGATGCCGTTCTCACGGGCTTCTCTTCACTTGCTGGAACGATGCCGTTTGCTTCTCCTTTCGGCTGTATTTTGATTTTGATCCAAGCTTTGTAATGTTTCCTTTCCAAGCTACCAAACAAACAGCAATGGAGCTTGTCTTGTAATTACTTTGTGTTGCCTATAAGAGGCAGAGTTTCAATGAGAAAGACAGGTTTTAGGGTTTCATTTCACATCCAAGTTCTCTGTTACATACTATGAGAAGTAATCTTAACTAGATGACAAACAAGAAGGCATAAGTGCTAATGGCTAGAGGGAGCAATCCTGCGCAGGTACTCAGTCTCGAACGCACGGAATTGACGAAGTATTCTCTTGAAACGGAGACATTTGGTGTCGATGAACCTAAAAGATGACAATATAAGTTGGTCAGCGGTGCTCATTGTAAATTTTTCAACTAACAAAGGAAGAAAATTTTCTCGCGCGCTGAAGGGTTGAGCGAACTTACAGTTGAAGTGGGTCCATCCAATCTGCTGATGGACTAGATCATACTCGAAGATCTTATCCTTCAGCACCAGCTCTGAACATTAGAACAAGATTACACAATTATTACAATCACAACAATGATCATAGAATTCTTAAAACAACAAGCAAGAACCCACAATCTGATAGCTAAAAAAATTGACAGTTAGACATTTGAATTCTTTTATTATTTACTTGAGAATTTCTTAGTGAAAAATAAGTGGATGAGATACTACAAGAAAACAATGGTTTAGAGTCGGTTGTTTTGAGTCGGTCCATTTAACCGACACAAATTGTGGTTTTGCGTCTGTATTTTGCGTACGTTTAGTCACCGACACAAAAAAAAAAATTTACATTTGTCTCGTTTGAACTGACGCAAATTTTTGATGTTTTGAGTCAGTTTATGGGGTCGTTTGCTTGATGGATTTGGGTCATGGATTTGGGACTCAAATCCCAAGCATGATGGATTTTAGTCAAGTCCATTGTTTGTTGTTAGGTGTTAAATCCGTGGGGTCCACGGATTTGTTACCTTTTTTGGATCCAAATCCGTGGACCCCACGAACTTGTAAATCCCACATATTGGGGTGGGATGGGATTTGTAAATCCTTGATGACTAGTTATATTTATAGCAAATCCATCATAATAATATCATCAAATCTATCATGCAAACAATAGACTCTTCAAATCCATGATGGTACAAATCCCTCATAAATCCAAAGGTTTTTTAGAGCCAAAACCCTCATTTTTCAAATCCAACAAGCAAACGACCCTATGTGTCAACCGACACAAATTCTGTGGAAATGTGGCACCAAATTGGAAAATTGACAATTTTGAGCGGCGCCCATTTTTCCCTCCTCAGGCCTCGCTCAATCACTCACTAAAACAAATCAAACCCCTATTTTGGCGGAACTTAAATCTGTTTCCCTTTGTCTTTTTAGCCATTCCCATCTGCTTTCAAGTTTCAATTGAAACCCAGATCTCTTGAAAAGAGAAACCAGCTGTCTCCCTAAATATTTTCTCGTCCCTCTCATTCTTCTTCTTCTTCTTCTTCTTCTTCTTCTTCTTCTTCTTCTTCTCCCAATAGAGAATGTCGCCCAGCTTCTACAATCGTTGGACCACCAACCTGCTCCTCCTCCTTAGCCATCATACGAAATCCCCCTTGTATAATAGGTTTCAAGACCCCAAACCGAAAGATTATCACCTACCACCACGACCTCCTCATTTTCTTCTTCTTTCCCCCTTTCCTTAGGGTTTTTGGGTCCGGGCCGGGTCACAGTTCATAGCTGCCACCAATCTTCTCTGCTCTCTCCCTCGGGATGCAATCTCCAACTTCCCTCTCCAGTCTCTCCCTCGATCTCTGACTCCCCCAACTCTTAATCTACCATCGTCACATCTCCCTCTCAACTCGATCATCCTCTCCTCTCCCTCTCTCCCAGAGTCCCCGAACTTGACCTACGGCCATCATCTCTTCTCCCCGACTCCCCGATTCCCCCATTCTCGACCATCATCTCATCTACCTATCAGACCCAGAACACTGAAGGCCTTCACGAGTCCGCCGCATGCAAAGCCAAGACTCAGAGTGTCTTCCTCACTGGTTATCGGCGAAGCGATTGAAGGCGAGGCAGGTCCGAGATGGCCGCCACTAGTCACTGGATTTGATGAAGCAAAGTCGTGTGGTGGTTGGAGAAGGTTGACTGGCGGATGGCGGTTGCTGAGAAAGGTGAAAGGCGAGGGTTGAGAGGCTAGAGGGGAGAGGGGAGAGGGTTTTGGGCTGTAGTAGTTAGGGTTTTGTTTGGGCTTAGTGTGTTAGGTTTCGTTTGGGCTTAGTGGGTTTCATTTGGGCTTAGGGTGTTAGGGGAATATGAATGATTTTTGGGCTTATCTAATATATTTCATTCGAAACTTCGGAAGAATCTCAGTTTTATTGAAAGAACCTTGATTTCAGAACTATCCAGATTTCCCTTTTGATTTCCGAACTGAAGAGCAATATTTCGATTTCGGTTTGGTTTATTTCAGTTTTGTTCGGATTTACCAAACCGGATGTTCACCCCTATCATATAGTAAAGAGATCGATGGCCACAACGATCAACCTACTCCCCCATCATACAAAAGTTCCCAGCGATCCGACGGCCACTGTGATGTCATTGCTACAGAAGGTGTTGACACCTAAAATTATTTTGGGCTTAATTAAATGTCGCATTAATAAGTCTCAGAATATAATTCGATGTCCCAGGATAAATAACGATGCCGCGAGTAAGCCCAACAACACCGCGGATTAGAAAAGGACATTGTTTAATATAAAACAATGTCTTGGATGGGATTTGCTTGACCACATCCGTCGACCAAGGCATGGCGAGCCAGCATTTCTTTAAACCCTCACAATCTTGCAAGTTAAAAATAGCATAGCGGCACTATGAAACTTCGTTGTTTAGTTGAGATCAATTCGTGGTTTAAAATGCAACAATGCTTAATGACGTCTAGCAATATTGCATCATTTTGTCAAATTGGTGTTGTGAGGTTAGCGAGGCTGAGGGTGCAAGTGCAACGGCGTCGCCAGGTGAGCGATGTCGTGAACCCTACAACAGCGTGGTACTTGAAACGATAGTGTTAAGCAAAAACAATGTCATGAGAAATTGCAACCTTAGTAGAAAACGATATTGGTTTTGTAGAAAATAACGTTGTGAGTTAGGGTCGTACGTTTGAGCCCTAGAAGACCATACCGGGTCAGCTTGGTGTTACAAGTTTCACGGAGTTGCTAGTAAGCTCAACAACATTGCTATGCTAGAAAGAGACGTTAGCAGGGCTGTGTGCTTAGTAAAAGGCCGCTAGCGGCAATGCGAGTTCAACACGCAACGGTCAACAATACCGTGAGCTCATCGATACCATAAATGCGAGTACTTCGAAAGAGGCAACATTGTTTCGCTGAAAACATTGTCACGAGTTCTACGACATTGATGATTTTGTTCCAACATTGAGGTATGCAACAGGGCCGCAAAATTAATTATAAGGTTTGATTATCTCATGCGAGTTCCAAGTTCAATGACGTCGTGGTCTACGGATAATAGTGTGCTTTGAGTTTAACAACATTGCAGGTTTGACAACGCCATGAATGTAACAGCGTCGCTTGGTCGAATAGTGAAGTTTTTTATTCGAAAACAACGTCACAGGTATGTTGAGATTGGTTCACCCATATCTCTAGGTTGAGATAATTGGTGGATTTGTTTTCTCACGATGCCAAAGTTGTGAATGAAGGAGGTTGGCATGCCCACAGGTTACTAGTAAAGCGGCATCGTTGGCTCCGCAATTGTTTTATGGAGAAAGGTGGTTATGGATAGCTTTGGAAGAGAGATGGATTATCGAATCATTGTGGATAGCTACAAGGTTGGCTCATAGGCGTTGTTTTGCTAAGTCTCTACAGAGCGGTCTCGCATTCGTGGGAGTTACGCATCAAGGTTGAAGTTACCCACATAGTCGAGAGGAATAGAGAACGCGGGAGACTAAGACGAAGTGTGGCGGTTACTACGACTACGAAAAGAAGATTGGGGTATAAACATCAGGAGGAGAGAGAAGCTCGGAACAACAAAATCAAATCACAAACTGCATTGTCGCAAGTTATCTTTTTATCTAGTTTCGTAGAACTTCTCTATCAAGGAACTCATTTGCAGAGTTGTAGTAGATCGCAGAGTACTCGCGGAGCTCTATAGAGAAAATTCCATAGGAGTATAAGTAACGTAATTTAGATCCTCCTTGTTTCTTCCTTGTTCATCGAACACCCTCGCTCGAACATTGTTTGGAGAGGTGCGAGCCGAGTAACGATCGTTTGGTTCTTTGATTTGTGTTCTTGTTTTCCTTGAGAACAAAGCGCATTAAACATGTGAGATTCCAAAGCAAAACAGAAGGTCACCATCTCGATCCAGCTCTTTGGCCCAATTAACCACATCCACTGGCACCTCTCCCGCCCCTAGCAGTCACCGCTCCGTGTTCACCCGTGGGTTTCGGATACCCATGGGTAATACCCGTCCCGTACTTCAAACATTATTACACCTAAAACTTTATAAGAAATTTTTTAATTATAACACTAAACGAACCTCCTATATCATGAAGTAAAAAAATGTACATTTTCTTAATACGGTTCAAAGAATCTGATCCAAAAACATCCATTAATACTTAATATAGAGTAATATTTTTCAAATTATTATGCTCTAACTCTGATACATCTACTAAGTTATAATTAACTAACATAATCTTGTTGATCAGGGGGAACGTGAATGAGTGAAGGGAGAATTGAGGGAGATGAATCAGGTTTTGATTAGGGTGGCCACTCAATTACATTTTTGCTATTTATTTTCTCGAGTTACTTTCATTATCATTGATAGGTTACAATTTGATCCACAAAGTTTTTATATGTGAAGAAATTCTCTTGGTGTGGCAGGTATGAGTATGGGGCAGGGGAGGCTAAAACCATACCCGCCTCATACCCATCAAATATTTTGTGGGTTTTATCCATACCCAGTTAAAGTGGGGATTCCCCGCATTGACTGGGTCGGGGGCGGTCGGATACCCGCGACCATGAGTTTGATTGCCATCCCTAGTGAAGGGAGCGGATATGGTGACAACACCATATTTGTTGTTATAGTAACAACAACATAGGTGGACCAATAGGAACCCACCATTCTGCATACTTTTGAAATTCATGCGTTGACTAGGGTAAAATACAAAGGAAGGGCATTTTTGTCCTACCAAAAATTGGCAGCTCCTTTTCCGAAAATTTCCAGCTCCTTTTGTCCGAAAATTTCCAGCTCGTTTCTCTCTCCGTTTCTCTCTCTGTCCAATCGCGCGGCGCCGAGGCTGAACGAGGGCGAAGAATCCTCATCGGAGCAACGCAACTACTGCAACGGCGGCGACGAGAGCTTGATCGCAGCAGCTACAGCAACGGCGGCGACGCAACGGCGGCGACGAGAGCCTGATCGCAGCAGCTACAGCAACGGCGGCGACGAGATCCTGATCGCAGCAGCTACAGCAACGGCGGCGACGAGATCTGATCGCAGCAGCTACAGC